AAAAAAAAAAAAAAATTGGATTTAGAGTAACGCGTGTTCTTTCTGTCCTCCCGTCGAAGTCTTTCTTTATCGGGATCATGGTCGTGTTGGTATGATGAGACGAAATGTTACGTCTGGGTTGCGTGAAAAGAGAAAAACATAAACGTGTTCGTGAAAGATGTACGACGTCTGATAGAGATTTCAGTTAATTTCTGGCGCCACAGTTTACCAATACGATAACATTTTCCATCACTATCTTTCTTTCGCTAATTATACTACTACTACTATTACGTTACTCTCTCTCTCTCTCTTGTCATTCCATTTCTTTTTTAATTGTTAAATGCTAATTTTACATTTTATCATCATTTTATCACCAGCATACACGGATTCTTTTTCTGTCTCTCCTTGCATCGTAAGACATATTTTGGTATCAACCAAGGTCATTCACAGACACCACGTGGGAAAAAATAAAATTCTTATATACACGACGTTCATAGGTTTCCTCTGATTGATGATCAATTAACATATTAGGTACAAGGTTAATCTCAAGTTTACAATATTCTTGTCTATACAATTTCAAAATAATCGCGTCGAATAATCAAAAACAATTACGTTGCTTGGAACTTAAATAGTGACAACTACTTGTCACTGTTAAATTGTGACAACATTCACAACCGATAGAAAAGAGTTACATGTTTGCACCTGTTACTGGTCCTTCAAAGTAGTCATCAGCATTGTGTAGAACCCGTTAGCAGAGTTCTGTTTTGTTGATGGTGCAAATAGAGCGGTCTACTGCCATGTCGAATCTCTGGAACAGTTCTGAAACGAGTGCCACGATGAGGTTCCTCATGAATTTATTGTAACACTGGATGAGACATGGTAGTAGACCGGTTCCATTTACACCATCAACAGAACAGGCTCTGCTAATGGTATACTACGCCTTCCACATAATTGGCAATGGGTTCTACACAACGCTGGTGACCACTTTGAGAGACAATAACAGGTGCAAACATGTAACTCTTTTGTATCGGTTGTGAATAAATAGTTGCCACTATTTATGTTCCAACCTACGTACATATTCATAAGAATGATTAAATTTAATATGTCTCTTTGACGTTTGCACGAAATGAATGAAATAAATATTTATCGAATAGGCACAATTTCTCTAAACTTATTAATGTGTAGAAGCTTCAAAAAAAAGTAAATCATAATAATCTATAGGAAAAAGTATGAGATAAAAAGAGAGGATGACGATACTTGAAAGATAAAGAAAAAGATTTGGAATTAAAAGGAACGTAGTAGTAAAAAGGTAAAAAGATTCATTTCGTGAGAGAAAGATGCTACCACGATGAGATTTTAAAGAGAGAGAGAGAGAGAGAGAGAGAGAGAAATAGGAATTGAAATTAAAAGACGAAGAAAGCTATAGTGAGAAAGAGTGAAAGAAAATGAGTATGAATGAGAGAGAGAGAGAGACACAATGGGAACATAAGAGAAAGAGAGAAAGTAACAGAGATTATGAGAGGGAGGAAAAATATATAAGTGTGAGAGAGAAAGAGAGAGAGAGAAAATGTAATAGTGAAACTAAAATACTAGTAGATGAATAACCAACAATAAGTTTGATTTTGTTACAACCAACTACTTGCATAATAGTTAAGTATAGGCTCATTGTGAAAGGTGGAACAATCGTTCCTGGTGTCTGCTTATCTTTGACAGATTCGTTCCCGCCTTTGACGATAGAAAATCGATCGACAAACACTCCAAACTTTCTCTCGAAATAGAAAAGGAGGAGGAAGAAAAGGAAGAGTAGTTTCTATTCTAAAACGTCGATGATGATCGTTCATTACAACCAACATAATAATACATATACATATATATATATATATATATATCCAATTGACATTCGAGTTGAGTTTTTGAAATCTTCAAACAAATCACACGTTTTTAATTTTCATCTTCATACTCATTTTTTTTTTCTTCTACCTTTTTTCCTTGCAAATAATTGTTTCCGTCCAATCTTTCATTTTATTTTCTTCTTTATTCTCATCTAACTTTTATCATTTTCTTCAAAATTGAAATTGAATATGTGAGATTTTATTTACTAATTTTCTTTTTTTTAGTTATTAATTTGTAAGCGATTAAATGTGCCCATAATTATGAAAGTGATCTAATAAGTCATGTATCTCTTGTTTCGAGATATTTGAAGTTTTATATTTGAACACCATATGAATTCTATATAATATTGAAATAACAAACATTATCAAACATTATCTAACGATTCATTTTTGACAATATCGTTTTCAAATGAAATTAAATTGATTTCATTTATAATAATGTAGTGCGTAATAACTGATAAACTAATTTTTTTTTTTTTTTTGTAATTTTCACTTAGACCACTTTCATAATTATAGGCACAAATGTGAGAATGTATTGGATTGTTCGAAAAAGTAATTTGATAAATTAAACCTCTCATTCGATCTCACGTGTTGTTATTTCCTAGTTTTGTATCAACTAGATACCTTTATTGGTGTCAAGAAAAAAAAGACCAAAATGACTTTACGAACAACCCAATAAAATTTCGATGAAAAGTTGTCGTGAAACCGTCACCTGATTTAAAACAAAGAGAGAGAGAGATAGAGAGAGAGAACGTATAACAAGGATCGTGAGATAAATCTTAGTGAGATGTATAGAATATGTAAAAAGGATAAACAAAAAAGAAATAAAGAGACAACAAAAAAGGGAGAGAGAAAGGTTCAATATATATAATACTTCCATAGGGAGTCATAATCTTGAGTAGAAAAATCCCCACAAATCCAAATCCAATTGGTTTAGGACGATACATGAATGATAAACGTTTTTCTCTTTCTTTATCTTATCACCACCCACACACTTTTACTCTGTTAACCTAATTAGCATTTTTTTTTGGTCGAACATTTTTTTAATGTTTCAATTAAAAATTATTTAGCCAGTAAACCCTGTGATTTAATCAACGAGTAATTAGGGTTGTAATGGGATAGAAAAAATGTAAATTAATTGTTTTTTTTTTGTGTGTGTAGGTTGTTGGTTGTTGACGATGATGATAATGATGATGAACAATCCTGATGATGACATTAAACTTTAAAGTTTCTAAAACGATATGATTTTCATGGGCACACTGTAAAGAAACCTGCGGGTTTCTGATATAATTCACGATGCTTTAGGGTTAATGTCACCGTTATTAATGCGCTTATGTGAGATGACAACACACTCATTAACTCTAACTGATTTTAATTTAATATTCTTGTTTGTTTGTTTGTTTTATTTTTTTTACTCAAGTAAGAAAAAGAAAATCAAAATATGAGAGAAAGAGAAAGACAATACCATTGAGAATCTAATTTTGTTATCAAAAAGTGTGTTACGTCAAACGAATAAACGAATTTTATGGTTAATCCCCCCATCGCATGCATAATCGACCAAAAGAGGGATGAAAGTTTAATGGGACAGAGGATAATTAGATACATGAATTTGTTCACGTTGTCACATTGATTAAAATACAATTATTTTGAGAATTCGAGATACAAAACTGAGATTAGAAATTTGTGAATCGTTCTTATTCAATTCTAATAGTAAACAACAATTTTCATTGAATCGTATTAAAACAATTCGATATTTGTGAAAACGCACGTGTTTGTATTTTCAATTGTAATGGAATTTACTTGAAGGTACTGAAAAATAATATTAACATTTGGATGTATTTGAAAATAAATTTAAAAATTAAGTAAATAATACTACAACTTGTTCACGAATATTGAACATAAAGGAGGATAAGAAGAATAGGATGAAGATGGACACTTTTTTTTTTACTCACTTGTCGATGAACGTCCGTCCAATTCCCTTTTTTTAACTTTCCACGTGAAAGTGAAAGGAAAACCTTCTTCCTCTCTTTTCTTTCCTTTGTAATAGCTTTCAGAATAGACCGAAGGAAGAACCAGATTTTCCAGATATTTCAATTCAAAAAGGATTTCCTCAATCCCAATATACTTTCAAATCCTTTCTTCTTCTTCTACTTCTTCTTTTTATTTAACTTCTTTGATCAACTCTGACACGTCTTTCGCGTACTCCACTTCGAACTTTACAGTTCGAAACGGGACAACGAATTAAATGTATCACCGAAAATTGTAAGTGTTGACTGTCTGTCTGTCCGTTTGTCTGTCTGTTCAGATGACTAAAATAGAAAAAATAATTGTGACCAAAATAAAATGAAAAATTCGTATATTCAATTTATCTTCTTCTTCTTCGAATTTTGTCAAAGATTATAAAGTATAAGGGGGTTGAAAAAGGGGGCAGCTTTAACAGGTGGCACGTCGCCCGGAGTTCCTCACCGTTCGGAGTACTAACGACGTGTAACGTCCACGGCCCTGGGGGAGAGCTTTTATAGTCGGGGAAACTCGAGTTGACGCGACACAGCTCTCCTCACTCTCTTTCTCTCCCTCTCTCTCTCTTTAGAACGCCTATCTTTCGATACACGCCTCGACTATTCCCTCTGTCATTCCCTCTAGTAGGACCTCCCTTGACCCTACAAAACGTCACTTTCACACCTTACCTTACCTTCTCTCTCTCTCTCTCTCTCTCTCTTTTTCTCTTACTTTTATTCTGCCTACTTGATATGTACCCATATAGGTCTCTCTCTCTCTCTCACTCTCTCTCTTACTCTTATTCTACCCACTAGATCTTTATATCTCTATCTCTTTTTATCTCACGCCTACTCTTTTGAGATTTTCATTGAGTGACGACAAATTTAGAATCGCATCGTCGACAGATCACCATCACCATCAACCCGTTTGTCCCCATAGAACTGATTTCGTCGTTACTTCAAGGTACGAGTACGGTGATGTAGGATAAGTTTGGAAAATACTTTAGGTCAACTTTATATAGTTCTTATTTTTTTTCTTTTTTTTTTTTTTTTTTTAAAGAAACCTTTGGTTTACCTTCTTCTTCCATTCTTTTTTTGGACACCTTCGTTGTTCTTATTTTTCAGCGTTTCACATTTTTATTTGATACTAAATCTTCAATATTCGATGATTTTCATGCTTCTCAGTGCACGGAATTTTCTCTTTCGAATAATATTGTTTAATCATTTTTGAATAAATTCTATTCGTGATATTACGATTACACCTTATTGTGATGTTTTGATATATGAACTATTTACCAAGGTAAATAATTAATAGCAAACGTATGATATCTAATTCGGTGTAGCATCAAAATCATACTCGAAGCTTCCAAGATAAGGAGTTTCCTCATCCCTTAGAGAATTCCTACAGGGAAACGTTCAAAGGACGAGCACATGACTGTGTGTGCTGGAAGGTTGACCCAGTTGAAGCGGAAGTGACCACCGACCCGTGCCAACTACCGATTAAATGGCCGATTAAATTAAGTCACATCTGTGCTTTGGATCATATGATGATGGGAACAAAAAATAAAAAACAAAATAAAGTTTCTACATCGATCTAATTACTTTCTTTCACATTCGTGTCCTTTTCGTCATCAACTATGATCAATATTTTTATTCGAATCGATAAAACAATATAAAAATGTTAATCTTAATATATATATAAAAATTACGTGTCACGTTGTTTGTCCGCAATGGACTCCTAAACTACTGGACCGATTTTAATAAAATTTTACACACTGTGTACAGTTTCATCCAACTTGAAAGATAGGATAGTTTATATCTCAATTTATAATCGCAATATTATTTTATTACGAATTGGACTGATTGTAAGCTACAGCAACGCGTGGTGGGGCACTCCTAAGTAGTATTATATTATTTTTATGGTTTATTGGTGATAGGAAAAAAACTCGAATAACAAATTTAAATAACAGAAATTGTGTAAAAATATAAAAAATAATCTGAACAGGTTTTTTAATTTGAAGAAAGTGTGTTTAATCAGACACGTTTCTGAACAACGTACCACAAACGTTGATGAAAATTAATTTAATAACTGGAACACAGGACGCGTTGTTTTTTTAATTTTTTTTTTTCTTCTGATTAACATTGCCCGAATGAATGCAATACCGATGCTTAGATGCATAAGTAGTTTCTTTTATCGTAATAAAACTTGATCATCATTAAACTCTTACGAAAAACCAAGTCACACCGACAATTTATTTGTGAAACGAACGTGAAAGTGCGTAGTAAAAAAATATCTGCCAATCAATTCATCCTTTTATTTTTTTTTTTTTTATTCGGATTTTTCTGACCATGATCGAATCAATTAAATTGATTTAAACAAACAAACAAACAAAAAAAAAACAAAACAATTCATCTTATTAGAAAAAAAAAAAAAAAAGAAAAATATTTCATACGTAAATTTAATCTTTAATACTAACAAAAATTATTGAAAAATATTCATCTACATAAACATAACTAACAGAAGATATTTTTTATTTAGGTTAATTTAATTTTCAAAAATCATCAGAAATCATTTCAATCCTTCTAACTTATGGGTTTCTTGAAACCCATATAAAATGAGAAAGACAGTGGAAAAAAAGCAAATTGAATATCCACCGATGATTACGAGAAAACACTAAAGTTACGTGAGATTCGATATTAAAATTGAATCGGAATAAAAAAAAAATTTAATAATAAAAACAAATTCAATCCAATCAAAATTTGACTGCATAATTTGCTTATTAATCAAATACACCCTATTTAAATTTCAGGACAATGTAAAACTAGAAGTCATAACTCCACAGGAGTATAAACTAATTATTGAAAAAGTTACCAGTTAATATTTTTACAAATTTTTTGTTGTTGTCTTGATTTGTTAATTTTAAACGTGCGAAATAATTGATCCTTTGAAGGAGAGACTTTCGCATCGATTAATTATCCTTGTATAGTTCACGGGTAAACACAAATCCCAATCCAGGTACTTAAACCTGCTTTCTTTCTCTCTCTCTCTCTCTCTCTCTTTTTCATATTCTCTCTGAGTTTCTCTTATCGAAGGGAGTTTGTCGACCGTGATCAACACGTCGACTTGTTTATAAAAGCACCCTGCGGAGTGCAGCTGTACACGATGTCCTTGGATAATTGGACAATTTACCAACATCCCACTATTACATTTACACGACGGACGATTTCCTTTATCCTCATTTTCATTTCAAACAATCGAATGTGAGTTTCGATGATAACGATGATCAATCTCTTCTAAACGAATTCAACCACATTGTATACATCTAAGCTATAATATTGTTTAACAAAAATCAACTATATATTCCATTCAAGATATTAATCTCACGTAGGTTGAGATTATCAATCCTATAAATTCTTTTCATCTTGAATTAGTTTGTCTTTCATCTTTATACTTAACGTTAGTTCATTGTGTGATTTCTATGGTATCTCATTTTTCATTTCTGAGATGGCATTACGTATTACTATCATGTCTTGATTATGTTCTTTCTATATACGTGTGTATGTATTCCTGTGTCTAGTAATATATGGGACAATATATGGGATAATATATTTACTTGAAAAATTGTTCGATATAGCACTGCAATCTTTTTGTATTTATACTTTTCGATAAGTATATAATTACAGTAAAGTCATTAATTACATTTAAAAATATTTTTTATATTTATTTAATTAGGTCCCGTCTTAAAACCCGTCTAAAAATAAATTCTAATTCTCAATTATTACAAACTTAATTTACATTTCGCAAACACTTTTTTTAGCTCGTGGACCATCAATGAACTTACAGCAAGAACTTTAAAGAGTTAGAAAGACTTATACGTTTCTAATCAGAATGATTCAAAATAGTTTTTCATTATAGTATAAAAACAAAATTAAATGCCGAAAAAAATAAGACTTAAATAATACCCGAATTGTAATAAATAATATTTTCAACAATTATTTTAATTAGTTTTCCTAACTATTTTCTAAATTTCACTGTTATGGGAATTCGTATAATACCTTGAGACAGGAATCGTCTTCAGTTTTCATGTGACTATGTGAGAACGTGATGGCTGTAATAAATATTATAAAATAAAAAAAATAAAAACAAGAAGATCAATTAAAGTATTAAATCTGAAACAGATGCGTTTATAAATTAAACATTTTACTAACAAAGATATTTTAAATTTTATATGAGTGTGTGCCTTCAGAAATGCATTTATACATATATCAAATGGAGAAGAATCAATAAAGGTTTGTTGTTAAATCCAACGAAGATCACCTGTAACAAAAAGAAAACTATATTAATTATACAATTAAGTGATATGAAGTAGCCTAACATATAAATCGTCCAATTCGCAGATGCACTTTTTAATGAAATCCTCTATTTATTTTTATCGAATATCTATTTCAAGTTGCAATAAAATTAAATTTAAACGCGTGATTTTACATTTACTAAAAATAAAAAAAAATAAATAAGTAAAAGTACAAGTATTAAGTTAGGAAAAAAAATAATAACTATTAATTATTATAACTACTACTTTTAAAATGCATTATATAGAAGAGAAAAAATTGCAAATTTAATAAAATACGATCACAGTGAAAAATATTAAAGATGGAGCAAGATAAAAGAAATTACTGTAACATTAATAAAAAGTTAATTAAAATTGTAATATTTATGACTCTAACTAACTAAACAAATTTGCATCTTTTTGACGATTAGGACACGAATTTGGTGTCCCAAGGAGATGGAATGATCCATCATCTCCAATTACAACTAGAAATTAATGACGAGCAAAAAAGTAAAACAATAAAATATAAAATATGACTAAGGAGCCATTCTCTAAAGGTTCGAACTTGCTGTTGAACCTTTGAAAATAACTCAATAGCCTGTAGTTGCCCTCTTGAGCCACAATTAAGTGGGGGCCTCTTCGGCATTATGCCTCTTCTTTCTTCATTCCATAAAAACTGCATTTGGACATTTCTTATGTGCGAGCAAGATAAGATATTT